GCCTTAGACGTGTAAAAAGAATGAACACATGACGGTTTTCCAAATCATTCAGAATGAAATCCTTGTAAGGAAGCAAGTTGGTTATACTAGAGGGTCCTTTCATGAAACCATGCTTTTGCCGAAGAATTTACCATACATTTATCATAAATATGCTTATTACCATAAAGAAGAATGGTAGGCTCAATACATCTACCACTATGGAATCCATAATCTTAGATGTAATAAAGCATTTGGCGATAGTTTTCGATATTCCTACAATCAGTTTTTTTTAAATACTGTAAAGGTCCCTTCCCGCAAGGATTGACCAAACCGAACAGTCTTTATTAACTAACAATTCAGGGATCCATTTGGAACCCAATTACAACTCAGTAATTTTTTATTTCAACATTTCTTTACAATCTACAATTTTTTGATCACAATATGTAATTTTATGACATATCGATATATTTACAATATATACATAGAGAGAAACAAATAATAAATATTATTCCCCTACTTCACTTCACTAATTAAACTTCACTGCCAACTCCTCAGAAAGGAGGTCGCGAGGCCTTTGAGTCGCCTTACGGGATTGTAGGGATAGGTTCTGCTGGACAAGACTATTATGAGATGATGGGAGAGATTATTATGGAACTTGGTAAATTTTTGGGGAATTGATTTTTGGATAAATGGGATTGGATAGATGGGGTTGTAGAGGGTACTATTGGAGATATAATGGAGCATTTATGATGGAGGACTTTAGACTGAAAAGATTGAAGACGTTGAATATTGGAAGACTTAGCGATGCCCCACAGTTCTATTCCGTATGTCCAAATCGGCTGTGTTAGGGTTTTGTAGAGAGTAAGTTTGTTTTTCTTCGTTAGCTTGGATAGGAGCTTCAGTAGAATTTAACTGGAAAGCAGACCCCCAACTGTCAATGAAGTTTTTGCTAGAACAGGGAGGCGTAAATTGTTCACTAACATGGAACTTTTTTAAATTTTATTAACATAATTAACTATCGTAATCGATCCATTCCAGAAGGGAGTTACATACTCCTAGCTTTTCCCGTTTTTTCACCAAGATTAAACGGTCCACTGTGTCAAAGGCCTTAGGCAAATCCGTGTAAACAGAACACAATGACCATTTTGTAAAGAAGCAAGTTATTGTGTATATCCATGTGTTAAGACTTTTTATATATTTATAGTAAATCTTGTAATCTAGCCGCACCCTGGAGTTTTTGTTAGTGAGTTCGCCGTTTTCCTCTTGCGAATTGTTGTCTGTCCAACATTTTTCGATGTCGAGCGGGGGCGTTTCGCCGCGTGGCCGTCGGTTCATTGGGCAGGGATGTGACGTCAAGACTCATTTACGAACCGCCGGAAGTCTCCTTTTGGAGGGGGGTCCCAACTCATATCCGCCGGGGCAAACTTACATCATCTCCGCCGTCGTTTTCATCCGAGGACGGACGACCCTCGAAATTATTCTGAAATAATAAGCGATCCCGACGTGCGATGGATCGATTTCATTGGAAGAGGACGTCGAGCCGTCTGTCTCTGGCCCTCCTATGCCGGGTGGCCGCGACCCTCGGCGAAAATGCCCCTACTCGACAAGATTTATTGTCCCTTTCTACGAATTACGACTCGAGATCCCATTAAGTTTAACTGGGAGTATATATCATTATCGCCGTAAAATACAGATAAACCCGAGAGTTACTCAAACTAGCGGGGAGTGGGTGAAATTGGTATCTTCCCATCTTGTAAATATGTACGCAAATGCGGAAACTTCAGCGCGTGTCAATTCTTGATCCCAAATTTTCAATTTGTACATCGTTCTTTACACTCTTGTCAACAACTTCACAGAGTAGTGGAAGACATCCTCGACTCCGAAACAAGAAGTCTGTCAAGGGCTTTTCCTGGACATCGAAAAGATGATGATCTTATTGTACAATACTTCATTACAATCGGACAATACAAGATTCTACGAAGCGCAATCGATAAACAATAAGATAAAAGCGTCCCACAGGGAAGTGTATGGGGTCCATTACATTTCTTGATGTACGTCCACGAACTACCCATATCACCAAACACAAGCTTATCCACGTTCGCAGATGATCAGGGACAATTTCTTTTTAACAATTTCTTACAACCTGCAATGACACCTGGATCGAATCCAATCATTGGACGACCGCTAAAGAATTGCTATGGAATACCAAAATTCTTCCCCAGAACTTTCACTTTAAAAAGATGATATCAAGTCAATGGTATAATCTTACACAACAATTAAATACCACAGGTTGTTTCTGCGCGTTATCTTAGAATAAACCTTCAGGAACGCCCACCCTTCAAAAAGCATATAAGGAATATAGTTAAAAGAACTCGTACTCGCATTCATCTATTAAAACCTCTAGTTATTAATTTTTCTCATTTAAATCCAGAAACGCAGATTTATCTATATTTCATTTGTGCGCCCTATCTGGCAATGCGGATGTTCAATCTGGGGCCTTGGTATTAACTCGCACATCAAGAGCATTCAAGTCCAGCCAAATCAGAGCGCACGGCACCAGTTTCTGAAGCAGTGAGGAGTCTGGAACTTTTTTCACTTCTTGTGATTTTTCTACCTTCCCTTCACCCACCTCTCCTGGGTGAGCAAACATGGTCCTGATGTTTTATTCCTTATTCAGAAACTGGCCAAGTGTTAACCAATAAAAATAAAACAAGTATGTTGCTCATAAAAGTATGAGTGAAGTGAGGTTGGCCACAATGTAGATAGATATCACTGCTTTGATAGGCTGATTGTTATTGTTTTTAGGAGGGAGTCTAGAACTTTCATCTTTTCTTTTGAGTTCTCTCAGGTTATGGACTAAAAAAAGAACGGACTTGGCCACAGTGTATATACATTGATGGGATATTTTTTTTGGAGGGGGTCTGGAACTTAGTCCTTTTTTCACGGTTAGGTTTTGTTGGGACAGAGTACTAGGCTTTGTGACAGATGCGCCATGGTACATCAGGAACGAAGTACTGCATAAATCCCTTAACTTCGTAGAAGTTAAAGTTGTGATAAAGAATGCATCCACCCGACTACACACCTCTATTAGAGCTCACAACAATGCAGCCTTGGCGGAATACGCGACGATCACCTAGACGACTCAAGCGGAAACTAACTTTAGACACAATCTCTTATCGAAGAAATGATCAATTGTTATTAAAATTGTTATAATTCAAATGTTGTTACATGTTCTTGTTATGCATGCAAATTATTTCACTATTTATTTTTGTTAATGACTGTCGATGAGCAGCAACCTTACTTCACATGCCATATTACGACCATGACGATACTGATATATTTATATACACAAAATTAACACAACAAAGAGCAATGAATTTGTTAAAAGTTTAAATTTAAAAAAAAGTAAAAACTATGCAAGCGAACTAATGGTAAGTCTTAAATCTTCGTTCTCACTATAATATATTTTTGTTAATGAGAAAGGCATTCTATAAATAATGTTAATTCCATCAGGTCGGAAACATTAACTCGTCAGACATGTTTTATCAATTTGACTTTGTCATTTCAGTCCTCTCGCTCCGAAACCCACTCGCAGACCGGGGCCGTTTCACGTAGGCCTGAGGACACCTACTTGGAAAATGAAAATTGGGCTGATCGCAGTTATGTAAGTAGGCTTAAAGAGGTTTTTGAATAAGCTGTAAATGTTATGCCACATTCATCACCTAAATTTTGTTCTTCTGAACATTGGGCCATACAAACACTCATACACTAGATGCACTCCTACCGTATCGTATTGATTAGACGAAAATGCTAAAGGGCTATTAAAATACATTGAATACAAATTGGTAATAAACAATGTTTTGTCGAGCCTAAGCGCATGTTGCGAAAGGTTGTTGGATGTGCATTACAAGATCAAATGTCATGAAGAGACTCCGCAGTGGTTCGGAATGAGTTATTGAGCAGAGAACGAATTTCTTCGGCCTCTGTTCCTATTTTTGGACGATAAAAGGGTGTCTTTCTATTGCATAGATTTTTTTGTGTAATAAACCATTTTGTAATTTGTTTGTTACCGTTGGGTCAATCCAAACAGTTTTTGAATAAAAATTGGCAACGAGACGCTTCACAAAATTGGGAGTATCGTAAAAAAGGTTTAACTGTTAATTTAATTTGGCCTTTATTGATAATTTTGGTCTGCCTGCCCTCGCTGGTAATCTGTCAGACGAGCATCGGCATTTCGTCAACTTGGTTGTTAGGTCCGAAACGCGTCGATAGGCCGACCAACATGATCAGTAAGGACAAACTTACAGGTTAGACCGCACAAATCTCATCAAATAATTTTATGTTAAATATCCTGAAATTGAATGTATTTATTGGCGTGAACGCATAGTGTGAAATGGCCTTGATTTACACCGGAGTATGTGATACCAAATTAAAAAACAGTCTATTGAAGAAAACAATATCAATATATTAAAACTTTCCTTTTTTCCTCACTTTCAAATATCGTGTAATAAGGATTCGTTTTTCGGCGACTTATGAAGTGGCCACAGGATACTGTTTGCGAAGTAAATACTTAGGTAATTATTATATTAATCCATATATGCACTTAGTAGCCATAATTGACTGTATTAATTATTTAACGACAGTAGAGTCTAGTTGGTGTTCGAGTGGATCGAAGTCTCGATAGCTCAAGTGATTAGAGCAGCGGCGTATTGAGCATACGCCGAAGATCGGGGTTCGAATCCCGTTCGTGACACTTCCTTTTTTCATCTCAACCAAGACATTAGATTAAAAGTAAAATTAATATGGTCAAGTATGACTACTAAATGCATATATGGTTAATTTAATAATTTCGAATACAAACATGTTCCATCTTTCTAAAACAGGTTATTTTTTTAGTAAAAATCAAGTTAATATATTATTCGATTATGTTCTAATTTATTTACCTAGAGGAGTTCCAATGAGTAAGACATAAGCCCAGGTGGGTTCTGAACCAGATGAAGGGGATGAAATAATCTATAACATTTCCGTACGAAACATATATATTCACTTTTTTATTTATATATATAGTATAATACATATAAAGGGAGTTGCGAGATGAGTGGTTGTTATAATCGTGGATTATAATTAATTTCGAAATTTCATTTTTTGAGGCAGGTGGAGCGGGGCGGAGATTAGAGAATTTGGAATTGCTTTTTCAATTCTACCATCAGCTGCCAGTCGGTCTTGACCAAGTCTTCTCTGAAATAATCCTTGCAAGCGTCTATGCTCTGTCTGGATATCTGGAAAAGAAATTCGGCCGGGTCAGTCGGCTGGGTAACCGGCAAAATGTAGACTCCAAGTCGGATTGGACTTACTTTGGAGACCAAAAAGTCTTTCTCGTCGAAGTGCCTGCCGAACATTTTCGGTGACTCGCCCGGGATCGGCTCAATCTTGATGCACACTTCCTGCCCCTTCCGTGCACTCTCGACCGGCTTGTGGTTGTTCTCGATACTCGTTACCACTCCCAATTCTACGAACTGAACATATCAAAATTAAGTTTTCATTTTTAAATTGCTCGCCTGAAGACTCGGCCGGCGGCTTTTCACTTTTTTACATATCGTTTAGCTGCGCAACGTACTCTCGGACTTCCGTTGCATTACGCGCCTTGCATGCCCTATTGGGTTTACCTTTCAAAATCTTTTAATTGTTATCAAATAAAATACACGGTCAAACGAATCATATTAATTCTTTTCATGCATGAATTTGGTAAATATGAACGATATTTAAAAAAAAAATAACACTAAGAAATTTGGTAAAGGCAGACACGAAATTGTTACTACTTTCTCGTAAAACGTATTTGATTTTTAACAGGTCGGTAGAAAAACTAAACTGCTTACTAAAGAATTTTAAAAGAATAAGCGAATGAAGATCAAAAAAGTACAATGGTTACGGAATTAGTACGACAGGTTCACTTTTTAACAGAACTCTGTATTTATTTAACATTCATTTTGTATAAATCGACCTGAACAATTCTGAACAAACAAGTTTAATTAAAATGAAGATCCCATCAACAAATGGACGGACAGCCGCCCTGCGTACACTTGACTACCAAAAACCGACTTTTAAACGTCTTAAGTGTGCACTTTGACTTTTTTTTCCATCTCAAACTTTAAATTCGAACCTCCGCACGGCCTGCTCGTAAATAAATGTAGGCCAAGTTGTTCGTTAAAAAACGCAATTCAGGTCAGACAATGAGAAAATAAAAAGAAGAAATAAGAAAAGGAAACATGAGTCCAATTGAATTGAATAAAATTTTTCATCAACCCTGCGCTTTAAAGGAAAACGAGTTGGGTAGATAAACTGCGTCTCGAGTATCGTGCACATTTTCTTCTCAATATGATGGTATCATTCAAATTTTAAGTTTACCTGGCAGTAAAAACAGTTTTCCAAACGCTATAAGTTCATCCTGAACGTCCCTCGAAAGATCTATCTAATTATCAAATGACACATTCGTTTAAGTTTAATGTATTTTTTATCAAATTAAATGAACTGTAAAAATAAGAAATTAAAAAGAAACAAGCGATCAAAATTAAAATGATTTGAATTTTTCTAGTTCTTTTAGTCTACTTTTCGTACAAGAGTGTACATTACCAAGAATGACATACAAAAACATGTGTTGCGTTTAGTCTTCATAAAAGCTTTCCTGTTACGCTGATGCTTTCACGTCGTTTATTGTCAAGGACGTATACGGAAATAATAATGCAAATCAGTATATAAATATCTAGTTTCTTATCTTAATATTAGCTTTCAAAAGCCAATATGCCGGGCCTGTCTTGCATGCACACTATGGAATTTCAATTGTTTTAATAACTGGTGAATATTTTTTTTACGCTCTATGTATGTACGGTTACTCTAGTCTTATGATCAAACAAGAAATGAATATAGCGTTTGTGTTAAGACGTTAGCATCGACCAGAGCATGAAAATAATTATTTACTTTTTCTATTTAAAACAAAAATATTCTCACCTCTTTGGTTGGCACACAAATCGGGGTACCCTCCCGGACGATTCCGGCCTCGACCATAACACCGACCACAATCGGGTCTCGAGAATTAAAAACGAACTAAAACAATTAAGAGAAAATTTGCATTCAACGTTTAAAGAAGGCAAAACAAAAAATGATCATGAAGAACAAATACGGCACTAACCTGAGGAAGGATTCGAAGCTTGCAAGGGAAGACGGCGATAGATTTGAATTCTTCCCTCTTCTTCGCTTTAATTTCGTCCCTAAAAGCGATGAACTTGTCGAAAAGGTGATAGATTATGTCAGCTTGGAATATCTTCACACCAAGACTATCAGCAAGCTCTTGGGCATCCCTGTCTATCTTAACGTCGAAAGCTAAGATGACGGCGTACCTGAAAATAAACAGCAGATTATCAATAAAACTACACTCACAAACTGAAACATCAGAGAAAAGTTTAGCTTTTGATTTTGAATATCGCTGGGCTGGACAAATAAATGGATTCTGGAGTGAAAAGCTCGTTAAATGGCTTTTATTTAAAATATGGCCTTTCTTTCGGCGATTTGCTCTCGAAGAAGTCCATTCCAAGATTAACAACATTAGCAAATGGACCTGCACCAACCGATTATATTTGTGTGCTACTTCACCAAAAGAAAAAAATGCGCGATCGGTGGGATTTGAGAAAAATTCTTTACTATGAAGTCATCATAATAAGAAATCGATAAGTTTTCCTCCAAGATAAGCACACAAGTCGCCGTACTTCCTCTAATTATCCAATTTTACTTGAGTCTCTGTGCCGACAGACAAAAAAGCGAAAAAATGCGGACCAGGATATAAAAGAACCAAAATAAATAAATAAACAAATTGTTAAACATTTTGAATAAAAACATGGACATTGATCGAAGCCGATAGAACGAGATCTATTCGGGGAATTATTCTAAGTATGTTATTTCTACTATAGAAAACCGCTTATTTTCTGTCGAATGAGAGATCCACCTCCATTACAGAAGTTGATTTATATTCAGTCGTAAAACGCAGACGTACAGACAGGAAATCCGGAAAAGGTTTGCATTATTTTTTTACACTATACGAATAATAAGCGTGAACTTCTCAAGGATACTACTGACGATCCTATCTTGACATTTTAGCAGCAAGAGCAGCTGATTAAATACAATTTTTAAAGACGTTTTATTTGTAAACATTGCCCTCTAGGGTGTAAACAACTTAAGACGATAATTTTTTGTCGTATAATACTGTTATTTAATGTTCCGTTCGAATAAGTAAGTGGAGAACGTTTTTATCCAGCGAGGTGAATGAATGATCATGTACATAAAAAATAACTTTCAGTTCAATCATTTTTTGAATTGTTTGTGCTCACTTTAAATACATTGAATTTTTAAAGACGAACTCTTATACTTACTGACTTTCGTGTTCCAGCATCGTCGAGGCTTTCATAACGTCTTTCTTGACAACAGGGCCAATCCTTATATTAGCGTACTGCAACAGAGAAATTATTATTATTTTTTTAAAGCAATGATTATTTTATGTGATGCTGTGCCAGTTTCGTTAAGGAAGGCAACATGGAAGTGGTTTGTTTAGCACGGTTGATGGGATGCATCCTGACGTCGGGGAGTTCGCGTGGGACTGACCACGTGACAAGCCAAGAATGAGTTGTTTTTTTGATAATTATTATTATTAATATGACACTACAAAAATAGCACCACACTTTATGCCCTGAATATGACCCAAATAAAGGTCGAAACGTTGGCAAAATAATGAAAAAATGTTTTTCCAAACTAACTCATTCTTGACCGTTCCTCACTTCAAAAATTATTAATTCAATAGCTTAACAAGAACAAAAATTGAATCGTATAGGTTAAATTTAAAAAGGCCGACGTCGTTTTATGTTGTGCGTTCGCCAGGTTTCATAAGATCTACCGTCGCATTTTTCGATTTCAAACATTAGGCTTGGCTACGCAAGCGACAACGAGTTTATTCATTGAACTGGGAGAACGTAAATAAAGCGAGGGAAAGATAAGATACCGTGTAGGCAAAACTTTGCACTTTAAGACGATGTTTATGTGTATTGTGGGGGATTTTTTTTTACCCCTTTTCGTTTGTGTATTTCTTACGTGCACTTTCCAAATACCATATCTGGAGTCGTTGAAAACGCAGTTTATTCAGAGTTCTAAATAACCTTTTCAACATGACATTTTCAAACCGCATGTTTTTCTACTCTATAACTACCGTTAAAAAATTATAATTTCTAATTAGAAACAGATTTCGAAAAGTGAAAAACTATTTAAGCGCTTGAATTTTTTAAACCAATAAATGGAATGGACCCTCAACAAATCGACAAATTGCAAAAAAAAAAAAGAGGGCTACTATTATTTAGTTGTTTATTTCAAAATATATGTATTTTTATCGTTATATCAATTACAACATACTTATTTTTATGCAAACCCAATTAAACGAGATCAGAAATACATGTTTTAATAAAAATTGTGTAATTATGATGGCTTGAAAAAAAATTCAACAAAACACCGGACAACCATTTAGTGCTAGATTAATTAAACTAACCATTTATAACCTAGTTTTATTCTTAATAACGCTTATTGTCAAATATATCCCATTCTTCAACAAGAGCGGTTTGAACCTGTTCTCAACGCTTGTTAGATGCCTAACATGGTCTAACCCGTCTCTTTATCATGTTCCATGGGTTCCATGACAGGAAAAAGTGCTGGCCTATTCATTGTAGTATTCCTGCACCTCCAAGTAACAACTCGAACTACATGCGATCGAGCATTATCATGCATACGAAGTTGTCCCCCAATAAATAGAGCGAACGGGACCACAGCTTTCAGAAGAACGTCCTCATTGTACCTTAGAGCAGTCAAAGATCCATTCTGTATGGTAATCAGTCCGGTGTGGGCATGGACGTTGATTCCACCCCATGCCATAACTAACTCTCTTTGTAAAGACTCACACAATGTACATGAAAGCGTTCTCCATGTCTTCTCCAAACATCTGATTGCCACAAACCAAACTGGCACTCGTCGTTCCAAAAGAGAACAGCCTCTCACTGTTCAAGTGTCCAAGTGATTTAGGAATAGTCGCCATTCTACTCGATGACTAGTAGCACATCTGATGCGGATCGTCTAGAGGCAAGGTTATTCTCACGAAGCTGTCTGATGACTGTTTTAAAGCTCACCCTTACAATATGCACCGTTTCTGTACAAGGCAATTCCGTAGTGCGGTGAGAGCAATAAAACGTACATCGAGGTCAGCCACTACCTTCTTTTCTGATGGCCCTAAACCGATGTAGACCATCGTGGATCGCGGACTCAAGATTTGGGCTATGTACGTAGACTGTATGTACGCTACGGCCGTCGTGGCCAAAGCATCTGCCCTGGCGAAATCTCGACTTAAGAACCATGCTTTTAAGAAAATAAATTTTTTACTCAAATTTATTGTTTAGTCAAGTAAAACATTAAAAAAAACTCACTCGACAAGTCGGCTCTGGAAAAGGTGAAATTGAACAACTACTATAAAATAAAATAAAATTTGACACCCGGTAGTGACACTTTTAATAGTGTCTACGTGCTACATCTCGCTGCCCAGCAGGTCGCGAGGTCACTGCGTTTTAATCTCCTTGAGGGATTATTGGGGATAGTTCGGGATGTTAGGTTTAAAACTAAGGGATTGGGTTGTAATGAAAGGAGGTGTGGAATTTTATGTATCGGCATTTTATAACACTTTTACAAAGGAATTTTAAGGTCATTGTGGATTGTGTGATTAGATACATAGAAAAGAGCGTTTACTGTTGGCGGAAGATTTTGGAATGGGAAGTTTTGGTGCGATGATAGTTGGAAGGTTTGGTTGAACCCCACACTCAATGCCGAATATCCAAATGGATTTAATTATCGTCTCGTATAACAGCCGTTTATTATGAAGCGTCAGTTTTCTTTGTTTGTCTAGAAGTCGTGAGAAAGTTTAGTAACGTCTAGTCAGTTCCTGATTTTTTCATCTTGTATTTGGATTCCAAGTCAGTCTTTTGTCGATATACAGCCTGAGGTAGCGGACGTCATTAACTGTAGTAAAGGATATGTGATGTAGGTAAAGTGGTGGAGGGGAAAGGTTATGTGTTGGCTTTTATCTGCATTTATTTTTATCCGCCCTTTTTCAGCCAAAGTTCTATATTGAATGTGTGCCTGTAGGGAGCTACGTATGATCTTTTCTGGAGGACTGCACAATCATCCATAAAAGTGTGAATGGATATCTCGGGTTGGGGAGGGAGGATCATGGGACATCACTTTTTGGGACTCCAGCCTTAACGGAGTAACAGTCCGAGAAAAATGCTCCCCGATTGACCTGAAAGAAGCGGTCTGATCGGAATACGAGGATGTAGGTGAACGGATGGTTAGGGATGGTCTGGATTGTAAATGATTAATGTTGGGTTCACGTTCTAAGTCATTAATCTTTATATCTAGTTATTATGAAAATAAACAAATAAATACTTTTTTTTAGTGTAAAACCAGCCATATTTTTCGCATTGTTTCCCATTTAATATGTAGTTTTTATTTGATAGTTGGCTAAATTTATTATATGTAATTATAAAATTTATACTTAAATGTTGAAGAGGTAAATTTTGACTTTTCAAACTGTTATGATATCAAATTATGAAATCGATCACACTCAAAAATTGAAGAGGCAATATAAAACGAGACCCATTTCTTGACTTAGAGAAAACCAAGCCGGGCCTTCTCAATAATCGATGGATTAAAAATTCAGTTATAATGAACGAACTGCACAATCTGACGCGAAATGAACGAAGACGACTTTTTGTGTTTGAGTATTCCTGCTAAAAACAAACTTCTATCAGAGCGAACAAGGAAGTGGGGAAATGCAATAAACCACGTTTCATTTAGCCAGCAGTGGAAGTTTATTATCGCACAGAAGTCATTTGCCCCAAGGCTCGTTACCGATATTATTTTGCTCCGGCGAATTATGTTCTGTAATGTTACACCGCACCTAAAGAACATGTACGCCGCCCTTATACTCTGTTTACTCAGGATAATAGCATGCCTTCTACTGTTCGAGGTCGTGGGTTTTACTTTCACGAGATAGCCGATTTGAAAAATTATTAAAAAATTAAACCGTCAAATTTTCGCAATAATCTGTTGGTTTTTTATTTAAAGTTAGGAAGAAGTAATTCAAAGCACAAGGTCTTTTTTTACTAGATCCCTGCAATTATTAACTGAAAATTAGGAACTAAACAACTAGATCTGAAGAAATGAATTCCTTAAAAATGGGGACGAGTTCTATTTATAGATGAGGTGAGACGCTCAGGAGAAGGTAAGTCCCATGCTGTACGGTTATTCAGGTGGCATAATACAGTGGGTCATTTCTGTTCTGGGGTGGCATTTCCTTGAACATCCTCACCGAATTGGTTGTTGTAACTTCACAGAAATATTTACAAGACAATCAAAAACATGTAGTGCCATTTGCCATCCACATCGGTGAGAGATTTTGCTAATACAGGATAATGCTAGGCTCCAGAAAGCACGTATTGCGAATGACAACCTAAATGAGGTTGGCATTGACTGCTTGGTGTGGCCAGCTTGAAGCCCAGATTTGAACCCAATCAAACTCACTGGGAACCAACTAAAGCGACTGGTACGACGGCGAATCCCAGGTCCTAACACCCTAGAAGAGTTGGAAACGGCTGTTCTTGATGAATGGGAAAGAATTCCTCAGGATTTTATCAGAAATCTTTTCCGAGGAATGAAATGACGTTTAAGGCCCTCCATGCACAGGTCGACTCGCGTTCAATGCAACTGCTACGCACCTTTTGTCACAACTCAACTTCCTGTCGAAGTAGGTAGGCAACCTCTCACGGTTCGACACCATTTCGATCCGTTCTCGACTCGGTTGCGACGCAACTTGATTTCGACTCGTGCAACCTGCAGTGCACTGGAAAAATCGAGCTTTCGGGTTAATGTCCCATGGAGGCGTCAAACATAAAATTTGTACAAGAGGTGAAAAAGATTCCTGATTTGTACAATTACACCCTCTCTGCTTATTCCATAAAGGACACAACGGCGAAAGCGTGTAATGAGGTTTTTATGAGTTTTACCAATTATTACAATCTTCTGTATGTTTAATGATGTATAGATATAAAAAATATCTATGTCGTAGCAGCAGAACACGGCAATGCCCTCCTCATCAGTTGAACTACCCCCTTTAAAAAACAGTTTAGGGGTGATAAACCTCCTGGCAAAACCCAAATAGACTGAACAAAAATCGACCCGTGTACGGATATACGTTTAGGTTGAGCAGTTGCATCGCGTTCAAGTACGGACGTGATTCGTGCCAGAGGGGGAAATATTCCTTATCAAAGGGGACAAAAAAGTTTGTTTAAACCTTTTTATTTATTTTTAAAGTTTCTATTTATTTGTTCTTTATTTAATAATTTTTTTATAGATACATAATAAACG